GTTTTCAACAATTGTGTCCTTCATGGTGATCTCTTTTTAGGTCCACATTGGCTCAAACAACAAGAGATGGTGTAATCCGACATTGGTGTTCCTTGAGTTGGAAGTTCATTTTTAATCTCTTTAGTTTTCCCCGGCTCTTTTGTGTGCTTTCCGATTAACCATCTCTTCGATTTGTCATAACTTTTCCTTCTTTTGCCTCATCCACGGAGGTTGGCTATAGTCCTTAAATTTCGGATTATGTGCAATTGTAGTCACAGGAACATCAAGCTGCTTGGAGATGGTCTTATAGCCTTAACCTTTAACAGGATTGTCTATCATTTTCTGTATAATCTCCTGAGACAGCTCTTACCTTCAATTCATCTGGAGTGTGATACACACCATATCACCAAACAACACAGTTACTACCTGTAGCCCTATACACAAGCCCAGAGACTAATTGTAAGATTGTAGACACCTGTAGTGCTAATTAGTCGACATGCCTTGTTTGAAATCTCTCTTTGGTCACATAATTTTCAGTCTTTTCTACATGTAGGCCTACTATAATTTTTTTCCAGGCTTATTTAAAAAATGCATTTTTTAGATTATTCAGTTGTAGGATGGTTGGAAAGCAATGTCCGACTTGCATTTGTTAATTTTCATAGAATTTTATTTATCATTATTTTTGTCAGATTCGAGTTATTTCTGAGCATTGTGCTTTTTCCTTTCATTAGCATGCAGTACCAACAATTTTATCCAAGTGTTAAAAAAGCAAGAGGGAAACTAAGAGAAAATCAAGGTATATAGTGCCAGGGGAAGAAAAGCACTACTTAATTTGAAGTGGATTGGTTAGGATGTGTTTTATAAATTTTATACAAGTGCATTAGAACAAGATTTATAAAGATCAATATGTAAGATAGTCATAATCATCTCAGCCTGAGTGAACACCAACAAAACTAACTGATAACTATGAAGGAAGTTTGAGCAAGATATTCAAAACAATATTTGAAAACAATGTGAATTCATCTGACATTATGACAAAAAAATCTAATAGGACTTGACAGATTCCTTGTGACTCTACAGATCCACAGCCTGTAACACAGAAGTTACTCTGTATAAGAAAGAAAGAGAAAGTCACATCAATAAAAAACATCCAGACCTTGTCATTTCTAATGTTGAAGTTGGTCAACTGCAGCGAACCATTGTCATTGTCAGTATTCCTTCAAACTGATGTTGTCACATAAGAGAAAGAGAAGCATGTGTTGTTAAAATATAACAGTTGACAAATTCTCCTACTGTAGTAGACCCTATTGTTGTGTAGCTTCATAAACCTACTATTTACATTTCACATATTTTTCCTTTGTCCAGTGTAAACATGGACTAAGAAAGAAACAGTTAGACAAGTTTTTTGGATCACATTCAAAGGACTGTGGCCTTGTGGTTACAGCATTGCGCTTAGAATCCAGAGGTTCTGAGTTCAAGCCCCACTCCCACAGACTGACACTCTGGGTCCCTGAGCAAGACCCTTAACCCCACACTGTTCCCCTGGCGCCTCACAATGGCAGCCCACTACTACCCAAGGGTTAAATGCAAAGGATTCATTTCCTTGCTCTGTACTTGTGACAGTGTAAAAATATATATATAATTCTAAGTCTTGATGTTTGGCATCATAGGGATTTTAGTTTTATCCTATTTGAAGTGTTCAGAAATTTGGACCATTACACCAATCTCCTTAAGAGTCCTAATTAATCCCAATGTGAGAATGCAAGAGAATTTGTTTAAATTTGAACAAAATAACATCCACATGGAAGAAACAGAACAATAAGTGCTTCTTTTTCATTCTGTAGGTAAATAAAAGGATGATTAAGAAACACATTAGAAGCCACTTTATGGAATAGAGATGCGGTTGAAAGAGCTGTAAAATGTTGTACGGCCCACTTACCTTTTAGTGCTGGGCTATAATGCATATTCACTGCTTAATGCGCGTCAAAAGAATGACGTCTAATCGAGCATATCAAAGTTACTACTTAGAGTCAAGGAAATCTAGAATGATACCATCTTTATAGTTGTTCAAATATACGTTTTTAAAGACCTGCTTTTGTGCTTTGAGTGAGATAGCTCAGACTGAGCTTTATCACTGGTTTGCACGGTTTTGCAAACTTTAATGTTGCAAAAAATAAAGACAATATTAACACTAATTCACATAGTTATGGTGGGTGTTGTGGTCAAGGAATTATAAAATGAAGCAACAACAGAGGTCAGTTAATACATACAAACTATTATTACCTTAAACATTTACTTAGAATAGATTGTACTACTATTTTGAGAATTTCCCACTAAAAACAAAATATCTGGATGTTGAAAATAATATTTTTTATATATATTTAAACAAAACCACACAAAATAATATGTATATTAACCCGTTATTGCATGTTAAGATGTTCACAAGATGTGGTGTGTGATTGAGCATGAGCCAAAGGCCTTATTAGAGTTCAAAAAGTAATCGATTTTCACTGGATGCCTATATGGTACCTATTAATTTTTAAAGACCACTGCATCTTCTGTCTCCTGAAGTTAGTGGGAGTTTGGTAGCTTGCAGTATCTTTTTTGCTTGATGTAGTTGTGGCACATGTTTGACATTAAGTATTTCATCTGTCATATTGTTGTTCTCCATCCACACTAACTGCAGGTTAACTGTAACCTGCAGCTACAATGAGGGAGCCATTGTAACTCCATACTGATTACAAAACATGAGTTTGTCCTCTTTTCACTTTATTTCTGTATGATCTTTATTTAAATATAATCAGGGGCTATTGAAATAACCAGGACGACACTCTGAGAAAAATCTAATTGCAGAAACAACAATATAAATATGATCAAAATACAAATTCTATCATCCTTACTGAGGATTTCATTTTGCTAATCAAGCCAGCTTTGATATAACCAGAATAACTTGCCTATGAGGCTCTCCGGAGGCTTTTTATCTTCCTCTACTGAGCTTCCACTTCCACACCCTTGTTAACTTGACAAATGGGACCAGAAATTAAAGCTTACAGCAGTCAACCTTGTTTAGGTGTAATTTAAATTGGGAATATAATCACTAAACATTACATTTTTGGAACATTGTTATGAGAAAATGCCAAATACTTTACTTAACACAAAATGGCAATGACAGTAGTTCCTGACTGCAAGATAATTTCCTGGCTCGTGTAGCTGGAAACTGACCAAGAGTTAAATCTGCACAAAGAACAAGACAAAGAGGCAAAACTTAAAGCAAATGTCAGAAGGACATGATTAAATTAATCTTAACACCATTTTTATTCAACATTGATAAAACTGTATAAATGTGCAAAACATTTTAAACAAAACACTTGTAAAGGTTGTTTTTTTTTTACCTTTTTTTTATAGATGTGAGCAATTGTCTGATAAAAAAGGCACTGTTTAAGATTCCTTGCAATTCAAGAAAGGAATATTGTCTTCGGTTTTAAATTTTGTTGTATGCTCGTAGTAAGAATCAAAGTGCCTTGCAAAAATACATATTAAGCTTTTGAATGTGTCCTTTTCAATATGTCTCTCATTCATCCACCTGAAGGAGTTTTTGGACCTCTACCGACAAGCATGGCGTTTTCAGATTAATTCATGTCCAAGCTAAAGAACTGTTTCCCAGTATGATGCTGCTGTAATTTTGTGGGATAGTGCGTAGTTACATACATAAAAATTCTACATTAGTAGCTCATTCTGATTGGATACCAAAATCTTCCAAATAAATTACTGCAATCTGTTAGTTTATTATATTTTACTTTTGGGTTTTACATTTCTTTTTTTTCACTATTGGAAAAGTAATCAAAGCACAGCGTGCATATTTACCATCACAAGACCATGTGACCTAAGGTATGATATTTTGCATGTGCATCAGTAAACAAGGAAGAGCCATAGACATATGTTGTGTCTATGGGAGCAGCAGAGGGGCAAAAAGAAAAAGGGAAATTGCATGATCAGACATGCAATTATTAGAAAATACTGGATGTCCAGTTGTATTGCTCACATACATTGCTGTTTCACTGCCAGGTTCATTTAAGTACATGCCCTCATTACTGTAATACCGATACCAGTGGTAGCAAAGCTATTCTCAGGCTATTAGTTAGAGTGCTTGAAAAGTTTAAACGAGATGGTATGCATACAATATTTGTCACAGTTCAAGTTTCAGATTTTGTAATAAGCTGCCAGCAGATGGTGAAGTCGTATGACAATTATTATGCCTGTTGATGGTGTCAGGTGCAAAAATTTACTTATAGGATAAAAAATGACCAGGTAATTTTTTGGGGGACAAATCCTTCAAATAAAAGAATTTATTTGAAGATGAATAATTAACATTTTTTGTGTGGTTTCATAGTCATAATATATGACTAGTTTCCTTTAAAGCTACTGTGTGTAATTCTCAGCAACATCTAATGGTCAGACTGCAGACTACTCTCCCTACCGCTTCTCTCACTCCAATACAAAGACCTCAAAATCCGCATTACCTTTTTTGTGAAGTGATGACAAGGTTTTTTTCTACTTAAGAAACTTTATAAATGCTATTTTATAAGTTTATAAGTTATATATATGTCTACATGTAGGGTGGAGATTTTATATAGGCCTAACTTGCCACAGTCACATTCAAGCGTAACGGGGATCTCTATAGTGACTAGGTTGTGAGTTCTGTGCTGACGTAGCGCAATGATGTCTGCTTCCATAAGTATGCTCCTCCTCTGTAATTATAAATAGCAATTTATACACATAAAGTTTAAACATAAAGATTGAGACTTTCAGTTAGTAGATGATAATAAATACATACGCATATTTATGTATAATATGTTACAATTTCTGTCAGTAAATCTCTGGAATTATTACACACTGTAGCTTTAAGTGTGATATAAAGTCAGTTTCACCTATGCAGTGTTATGCATTTGCCAAGGTTCAATTTTAAACTAATCCAACGGTTCTGTTTGCAGATTTTCTCTCCACTGCTGTAGTTTACTAAAGCTCCTTTAAAGTACATTAATTTTATTTGGATTAATGCTGTTTTGTTTTAGTCTAACCCTGATATTTGTCCCTGAACTATTTGGCTTGTTCATTCATCCAAATAATTCTATTTTTTTAGACTGAAGACCTTAGACGTTTGTCAAAGAACATCAGAGACTAAGTATATATACAGAGTTAAAGATGCACACAGATGGGCTCTTTTGCTAGGGTGTGTACAAATAGCTTTCCATCAGACAATATTCTTAAGGAAATTGACCAAAACGCTGCAAGCTTTTCTAAAATGCAGTGTAAAATCCACAGAGACTGCAGATACTCAATGAGTGTAACCCTCGATTCACTACTGTGATTGAAGTAGGCATCTTGTATTTGAAGATTTATGATCAGGAGAAAATCACTGAGATGGGCTTTTAGAGGACAAACACTTTTATTAACTGTTGGCTGACTGCTGAGTGCCATCAGCCTAGGGTGAGGTTTTCTGAAATTGAAATACATTAAAGTTAACACCTCACAGGAAGGTTCTTAAGTACTGTGAGCTTTTCAGTGAAGAAGCTGAGATGACAGAATGGACAAACGTAAAGAGAGGATTTTGCTCTTTCTGAACTAAAATTTGGTTTTTGTTCAGAAAACTTCCTATCCCGGCAGCATATCTGTATATTGCTGACTTCAAGTGAAAGACTAAGATCTTGGCAGCTGTAACATACCAAAGGAAAAATACCAGTCTTAATGTGGCTCATCATTTTACATATAAAATGTCAAACACACACTGCAGTGTTCTGCTATCATAGCATGGCATCAATAAAGGGGGTCTTTAAGGGACTTGAAGAGAGAAATAAACATCTTGGTTTGCAGGAGTCCCAGATTTACCTAAATATTGAGAACATGCTCAAGTAATGTATTAAAAGCAGATTGTTGGCTCATATTTATTACTATTACACCCTTGATGATATGACAGGTAGGTATTAATTGAGTCTTAGGGTTTTGTTGTGTCTCTGTTGCTTAATTGTTTTATGTTCTCTAGTTACTACCATTGTAGTTTACTCGTTGTGGATCAGATTCTTAGTTTATTATTGTGTATTTAACAAAAAATATTACTATCTTAGACTTTTTTTCCGGCATTCCTGTCTGCTTCTGTTCATTACCTTTTACCTAAACAGCTCTTTTACCTCCACAGCCCTCTTCTTTGATTTCAGGTGTTTCTATCTAGATTAGTCAACTATGTGGCCATCCAGCTTTTATTATTTTCTCCTGCATATAAGATTTGCTCCACTCATAAAAAGTTTTCTCCACTCATAAAGGAAAGCGTTCTAATCCACCCTACTGTGAAGCCCAAGGGTGCTCTGAGAAGCATGTGCAATCGAGCAGTCATACTTTAAAAGCCGATGATAAATGTGGAAGTCAGACAAAAACAAATGGAAGATGTAATTAAACCAACTATTAAAATTGCATGAGTTTTCATTTTCATTGCCTGTCTGGTGCCTAATTTCCACAGATTTTATACAATAACAGAACAGAAGGTAGTGGAGGTCGGGCGGCTCTTAATTAAAGGATGGGGTAACCTTTACTGCACCTCAAGCTACTTATTGAATAAAGAGAGCCTTAGGGCCATTTTTGTCATCTAGTCAAAGCTGAACAGGTCTGTGTCAAATATGAATTACCCTTTGGTGATTTTCCGTACAATTAATACTGTTTTAGCTTTCCCCTTGTTTTAAGAGACATTGTGACAACCCCTATTTATGAGAGACTGATTTCTATCCAATCCCTCTATATTTGTCTGCTTAAAAAGAAATCTATTGCATTTCTAAACGCTTTTTAAGTTGACAAGACAGCGTCTCAACATGTCAGAAGAAAGAATTAAACATTTAACAAAAGACTAACAGATCACAGCTTTATTCTGTAATAAATGACTTTCTGTTAAAAACATTACAAAGAATTTCGAGAGGTTGATCTTATATAATCAGTTTTTGGCAGTTGTATTATCCCTTTTTAATATAAGCTGCCTGCAACTGTTAGCAGCTACAAAGATTCAAGCCTTTACTCAATCTGATAAAGTGAAAATCGCCTTCTTATGCCTAATTAGCTGCAATAGTATGTGATTGGCAGATAACTCTCTACTGAGAAACATTGGAATATAATACTTTACAAACAAGCTTCAAACACTTCCATGTTCCTGCCAGTGGTACCAAAAGATGTTCCCACTTCTTTTCCATTTGGACTGAGCTGCTCATCGGGTTCCTTAATGTGCAGCTCACAAACCGGGAACAGACTTCTGCTTTCTGCTGTCGTCTTATCTTCCACCAATTTTCTTTTTGAGTCTGTGAACAAATCAGTCCGTGCTGCTTCAAGTCTGATATTTTCCATCTGAAATGAAATAGAATATGATGGTCTCAAGGTCAATGTTGTTGTAATAATACAGGTCAGGGAGAAAATGGATGGAATCACAATACTAATGTTTTTCACCTTCTTTAAAAAGTTTTATCATGTATGGGAGGAAATATAGCTGGCTATAAAAAAAATCTGATCATTTTAATGGAATAAGAATGGATTCATCTAAAGGGTTATGCTTGACCTTTCCACATGAAGTGCCAACTTAAAAAGTGTGTGGGTGTGTGTGTGTATCCAAGCTGATATTGGAGCTTTGAAAATCAGCTCCTTCAAGTCTAAGTTCATGGTTCTTAACTGGAGAAGGGTCCTGTATAGGTCAGAGGGGAGTTCCAGACTCAAGGGAAGGAGTTGAAGGACCTTCAAATCCTGTTCATGAGTGAGGGAAGAAGGGATTGGGAGTCTGACAGATGGATCGGTATGACTACCGCTGTAATTTGATACTGCACTACTGTCATATTGTAGAGAAAAAACAGTTCCAAAAGGCAGAGCTTTTGAATGACTTGTCATTTTCCTTTGGATATCAATCCCCTAGGGAGTGGTTCCAGGCACGCCCCACCAGAATGGGACCCATTGGATGCATAAAGACGAAAGAGGGGCCTTGTCTGCAGGCTAACCCTAATCTCTAGATAGCAGCAGCAAGATTATTTAAAAAGATCTAAATTGAAGTTCTGCCGGTATTTCCAATGTAAGATGGCAGCATAAAATAGGAAGATGGGAGGGAAAAGCAAAAGAACAATCTTAAAATTTCTAAGTCTAACTGGACACAGAAGAGATGTTTTAGGGTACATGACTAGACTGGAAAAATCTACATAGATATTTTGGTAACAGCTTCTGTCTTTCTGTATGTTAAGCCCTCTTCACCTGAAACAAAATCATCTATTTATTGGGTGAAAGTTTTCATGTATATAGCAACCACAAGTTTTATACTTGCTGAACTTGTTTTAAATATGGCCCTTTGAACATAAAAACTGTCAAACTTAAAAGTTTAGGTTTAACAAGTAAAACATGAAAATCAAAGGTTGTGTTTTGAAGTTGTTCCATTCTTGTGTTCCATTCAAAAATACCAATATCTTGTTTTTCCTTTTTTGTTTGTTTAAAGATGCCCTTTAGGCTTATCAACATATAAATCTGCTCTGTGCTGTGGTGGCATTCACAAAGCTCAAACTAGTATTCTGCACGGTATTTCTACAAGGCGAAGTGTTATCATTTAGAATATACTACTAACAAAGCATTTAAAAACCATTGACTTTCAGCCTTTTCAAAAAAACTAATATTCATTCTCACATGTTGGAAGAAAAGATCAATATGAACTTCAACATTCTGCAGTCAGGACATAACTTGATTCATGCCGTGAACAAAGCCTTTCTTGGGAAAAAAAAAGGTCCATCTTACATTATGCCAAAAAAGATTTTTATACAGAAAATATTCTTTAACCAGCTTTTCCTCCCTTTTTCAAATTTCTAGAAAGCAACTGAAGTATTTCTCACTCACCATTCACAACAACCCACACGGTGCTTCTCCGTCTTGCTTTGAAATGTATGTAGTCAGCTCATTTATATTTCAGTCAAACGGCAGAATGTATATTCAGAGTGAGGTAAGACCACTATATCTTTACCTTTACCGGCAAAAGTTTGACAGGTGACAGGGCTTGTGCTCATACAAAACATATAGATTTTATTCTATTCTGTGTAAAAGGAGAATAGATAACTAGAGTTTACTGTGAACTAATAATAGGAGAAAGCTTTGGCGGTTATAGGAAGATGTGTTTCTTCTTAACACCCACTACTTTTGTTTTCTTGTGGTAATTCTGTGTTCAAAGTCATCAAACTATAAGTATAAGGCTGCTCAACAACAGAAAATAATTACCTTATTTGTTAATAAATTTAGTTAGTTATATAGTTATTTATTTTGTTATCTATTTATTTATTTATTTANGTTAGTTAGTTAGTTAGTTAGTTAGTTAGTTAGTTAGTTAGTTAGTTAGTTAGTTAGTTAGTTAGTTAGTTAGTTAGTTAGTTAGTTAGTTAGTCAGTTTTTGTTGTAAAGCAATGTTTTTTTTATTACCAGGTTATCTTTGAATGAAATATTTCACTTTTGGCCTGTACATTTCTTTCCTTCCAAAACCTTGACTTTGTTGCAGGATTTTACTGTGCAGCCATTCTTTTGTCGAAACCCAACACATGCTTGGACTCACTGTGATGCTGCAAAATTAAATCTCTCTTTATCTTCAGCTAACAGACACCTGGAGGTTTCAGGTCAAAATGGCTGGTGTTTTGTTTTCATATTTCATCCACCTTGACATAAAGCACAGTTCCAACAGCCTTAGCTCAGCAAGGCTGCCTGCCCATTGTTTCACATGTTGTCTTATAGACATACACCATATGAATTTAGGCACTAAAGAAACTGAGCTTTACCTATTATTTCTTAAAACTTCAGTCTCTATACAGTATGTATATTTTTTCAAATAATGTAGTTTATGCTCTATTGTTGATTATATAACTGCTATCAGAAAAGGCACAGAAGCAGGAAGTCAACATGTGACAGAATCAGACAAAAAAATAGTAGTTTTAAATCAGTGGGCTGGCTGTCAATGGCCAGTATAGTTGGCATATAGTGAGAATGTTTTAAATATATGAAAAACACAAAAACGGTTCTTGTATTAAATAATCATATAGATGAAAACACATTACCATTCTGACCAAAATGATTGAAAAATCCTTATTTGAATCTCATGTTTTTTTTAAACAGCTTTGTTCTTGAGATTAACAAAATATAAAGGCTATAAAATTGTTATTTTAAAGTGCAGAAACAGATTTAGTCGAAGCTTAAATTCTCCTCAGATTTCAAGGGCTGTCCTGCTTTGGTTCAGAGTTTGTTAACAGGCTCTAGCTTTTTTCCCCCATGTGACGACATCTCATTGAACTCTTTATCATTGATGTCTGCATCCAGCTGGTCTCAATCATGTATTTTGAAAACCCTGTCTTACTCTTTCTCTCTGTAAAATATGTTAGCAATTTTGAAAATACATTTTATGAATGTGTATTTTAGGATAGAAGATTTAAAAAAGCAACATTTTCCTCACAGTAAAGAAAACGCAATGGAGAAGAAAGAGATGGAGATCAATGACAGTTGCAACCAGAAACAATATACTGCTGAATCAAAACACAACTTTGATGCACTATTGTTGCATTTTCTTATATATGGGAAAATTCCTTAATCTTTACATAAATGTTTTGACCTGTTTAGAGTTACCTGTTCTGAATTAACAAGAGAGGAAGACCTATCAGCCCTCCAGCCTTAGAGTACCCCCTCAGGGAGACAGCAACTGTTTGAGTCAAGGCCAAGAGATGTGTAGAAAGCCAGGGCAGAAGCCCCCGTTGGTTTCAGAGAGAAAACAAAGTCTGAATCTACTGAACATACTTGTTGGTGTTCTATAAAAAGGCTGTTTCTAGCTTCTGACCTGGGCTTTCTTCTTTTGAGCTTCAGATGTTTGTGAATTCTTTTAAAATTTTTGAAGTGTCCTGGTGGGTATTTAGAAAACCTAAACTAGACTTGTAACTGTCAGTTTACTGCTCCAGATTTAGAGAAAGAAAAAAGAAAGAAAATCCAAATGGTTTAAACACTACTGCTGTTTGTTTTCAGGATTCCCTTTAAATGGGGTCATGCAATTGTTTGTTTATATTTCAGAAGTGAATTAATCACTGTTAATTAATCATTTTTCTTAATTTCAAATCAGTTTAAAAAAAATGCTTTATCGCTCCAAAAGGTAAATTATTAATATGAATTATAAATTATTAGTGTGATTGCTTATTTTTCTCAGTATGGATTCTTTTTATTTACTAGGTAAGTGTTCATACTGTTATTTTGAAAATGCATGTTTATTTTGTATTCCTCTCAGTCCTTTCATGACAATAGCAATTTGGTTCTTTGATTGAGAAAATTTACCATTCAGACTGATAGGCTGGTTTTATTATTTTAATACCAACTACTACTCCCCATAGATAAAGTGTAAGCTTTAGTGAAGCACCATCCACTATTTAAAGAACAGTGTGTAGAGAAATGAACACCTAGGCAGGGGTTTGATATTTTCTTTTGGGAGAAAACAATAACTTTTGTATAAAAAACAATAAGAAAAGTGAATTCATTTTTTTCTCTACAAAACATTGAAGTGGTTCTGAATATATGAGAGCTGAGTGATTGCGTCTCATTTGTTCGTTGTTTTATAGTTATGCAGATCTTGTTCAGGACTCATTCGGTGAGGATTGCCTTCTAGTTCTTTAACTTTTCCACTCGTCAGACTCACCAACTATTCTCTCTGCCTGTGCATTTTCCAGATCTACAGGGCCTGACAGGACTGTCTCACCTCTTGACAGTTAATTGCTAACTGCAGTGTGTGGTACTCATCCAGCTGTCTGCCTTTCACACTTCCAAACCTTGACTACCTGTAGTCTGTTTTAAATCTGCATGTTCTTCTTCTTTTTTTGATCTACTTCATCATGGATCCATTGTTTGCATTTTTAAAAAGCACTTTCTTCTATGGCTGTAAATGTTTTTTTGTTGCGGGGTTTTCTGTTTAGTCTTGAGAAGCAGCTACTGATTTTTTTCCATTACATTTCCTTCTAAGTTTTCCCTAAGTATTGTTTTACAGCCTAATTTTCACTACAACATTTAGTAAGCTGGCATTAATTAGGTTGCTGTTGCATCGCACCACCTGGTTTGATTCTTGTTTGTCTTTGTGACCCAAAACACAACCTTGTCAGAACTGTCATCTTACTACCTGAATCTAAATATTTTGTCGCTCAGTCTGTTTTGTTTTTTGACAAAGGCCTCGTCTTTAGGTCTTAAAGATTAATTGATGTCATATTTGTTGTAGTCCAGTTTCCATTTAGCAGTTCTTGAGGCTGAGCTTGCAGTTGCTGAAAGGTCACCTTATCATAATAATTACACATTTATACATTGTAGATTATATTATTCTT